CAATACAATACAATACAAAGCTATCCAGTATAAATTGTAGTAACACTGGATCAATAAGAGATGATTCTTACTGGACCTCTAGGGAGAACAGTTTAGAACTGATAGAGCTATCCAGTATAAATAAAGTTAGTTTAGTTTAGGTTTCTTCCTGTAGTAACACTAGCCGATCAATAAGAGATGATCCTTACTGGACCTCTGGGAAGAACAGTTCAGAACTGATAGAGCTATCCATGCAGTATAAATAAAGTTAGTTTAGTTTAGGTTTCATCCTGTAGTAACACAGTTGGATCAATAAGAGGTGATCCTTACTGGACCTCTAGGAGAGCAGTTTAGAACTGATAAACTATCCATTTAGGTTTCCTCCTGTAGCAATACTGGATCAATAAGAGATGGATCCTTACTGGACTTCTAGGGAGAACTGTTTAGAACTGATAGAGCTATTCAGTATAAATAAAGTTAGTTTAGTTTAGGTTTCCTCCTGTAGCAACACGGGATCAATAAGAGATGATCCTTACTGGACTTCTAGGAAGAACAGTTTAAGACGACAGCTTATTGTAGAATACTACCTACACTGGACCACCACGTTTGAGATCTTTTTCAGGTAGTTCAGACAAAAACCACGACAGTTTATTGTAGAATACTACCTACACTGGACCACCACGTTTGAGATATCTTTTTCAGGTAGTTCAGACAAAAACCACGACAGTTTATTGTAGAATACTACCTACACTGGACCACCACGTTTGAGATATCTACACTGAACCACCACGTTTGAGATATCTTTTTCAGGTAGTTCAGACACAAACCACGACAGATTATTGTAGAATACTACCTACACTGGACCACCACGTTTGAGATATCTTTTTCAGGTAGTTCAACACAAACCACGACAGATTATTGTAGAATACTACCTACACTGGACCACCACGTTTGAGATATCTTTTTCAGGTAGTTCACACACAAACCACGACAGATTATTGTAGAATACTACATTATACTAATGTCTTTTGTAATTGTTATAACGAAAGTAATAAAATCTTTTTGGGCTCACAATTTTGTATGAAGTAACTAAACTACCTAAAGAAATAAGGATTTTGGGCAATTGTTGAAGGTTCAACAATTATACCAATAGCTCATATACACCGTACATTGCCATCTCCTTATAGCATTTATACATGAACTTGTTGTTAAAGCTCGACAACTGTCTTTCTGTACCTCAGTTGGTTAGAGCTCGACAACTGTCTCTCTGTAGCTCAGTTGGTTAGAGCTCGACAACTGTCTTTCTGTAGCTCAGTTGGTTAGAGCTCGACAACTGTCTCTCTGTAGCTCAGTTGGTTAGACCTCGACAACTGTCTCCCTGTAGCTCAGTTGCCGAGTTGTTTAGAGCTCAACAACTGGCCTCTGTAGCTCAGTTGGTTAGAGCTTGACAACTGTCTCTCTGTAGCTCAGTTGGTTAGAGCTCGACAACTGTCTCTCTGTAGCTCAGTTGGTTAGAGCTCGACAACTGTCTCTCTGTAGCTCAGTTGGTTAGAGCTCGACCACTGTCTCTCTGTAGCTCAGTTGGTTAGAGCTCGACAACTGTCTCTCTGTAGCTCAGTTGGTTAGAGCTCGACAACTGTCTCTCTGTAGCTCAGTTGGTTAGAGCTCGACAACTGTCTCTCTGTAGCTCAGTTGATTAGAGCTCGACAACTTTCTCTCTGTAGCTCAGTTGGTTAGAGCTCGACAACTGTCTCTCTGTAGCTCAGTTGGTTAGAGCTCGACAGCTGTCTCTCTGTAGCTCAGTTGGTTAGAGCTCGACAACTGTCTCTCTGTAGCTCAGTTGGTTAGAGCTCGACAACTGTATCTCTGTAGCTCAGTTGGTTAGAGCTCGACAACTGTCTCTCTGTAGCTCAGTTGGTTAGAGCTCGACAACTGGTCTCTGTGGCTCAGTTGGTTAGAGCTCGACAACTGCATGTCTCTCTGTAGCTCAGTTGGTTAGAGCGCTGCACCGGAATCGCAGTGCCTATAGTTGCATTAAATGTCGGTTACCACCTACAAATCCCTGCCATTAAAAATTCGTATTATTTTGCAAATTTGTACGAAAATATTACCTGAGCGGAAAATATGCATATTAAGTAACTTCTCTTGTAATTTCATTTTCATTTTCACGAGAAAAAAAACATTCCTTTAGTTATTAAAGCCCATATATAGTAGGTATTTTTTTCTTTATGATCATGAGTTACTAAAACAAATAAAGCATATACTCATAATTTAATACGACCTTCCGGAAAGTATTCAACCTTGGCTGTATAGAGCAATAGAGCCCTTTATTTTAATACGTGCATTGAAGAAATTAAAATTTAACTCACTTTTGAGTAAAGTAAATCTTTACTGGCAAAAATGGAACCGTTTGGATATGGACTGAATTATCGAATTGAATTATCTGAATTAAAACCGAACGTGTATCTAAAATATAAAACTCAATATTCCAAAACGTCAAGTGAATAGATGTGTTGAAAATGTGCCCTATCGAGCCATAGTGGGTAATTTAAAAATTCAAGCTAAAAACAAAAGACTATAAGAGAGAGCAATAACTAGGGGAACTATACTCCCCCCCCGACGGCTAGCATCGCCACGCACCAGCGTCTAGAATCGGCGTCCAATTATGACGTAAGCGCGCATTGACAGAGTGAAAATTATGTGAATAATAATTAAGTGAAAGTATATATATATATATATGCCTCAATTTACACCGTACACGATAAACGATATCCATTCACACAAGCCTAGACACCCCAGCAGACTGCGATGTCTCTCTCCAAACCTCACCGTAAACCCCGCTTCAAAGACTGGCTCGTTTATGTCTTAGACAACGACCTCTGCAGCGACGATGCGAGATGGCAGGACAGCTCTCGACGCACGGCTATCATTCGCTGGCCGCACAAATCGCGTGGAACATGGTCTTTGGAGAAAGATGCCAAACTCTTCAAAATGTGGGCCATCACTTCGGGGAAATATCGAACAAACGTCGACGCACCAAATCCCAAATCTTGGAAGTGCAACTTCAGAATGAATTTAAATATTTGTAAGAATATCACTGAATTGAAACACGAAAGAGTACCGAAGGGTCCAAATGCTTGCAGAGTGTTCGCGTTCTCGGATCGAAGAACTGCTTTGCAAAATTGTGACTTTCCGGGCTTCGAGTATGGTGAGTTATAATTATGTATAGTCATGCGCCAGTATGCATGCACGTCGACATTACTAGCTGTTTCTTTGTTAATTGGACGGCTAGAAAATAGCACATTTTCACCTAGTTGAGTATATTTGCATTCGTATAGTTGTAGTATAGTAGCAGGGTTTTAACACTGAGCATTATCGTGCAGAAATGGAGGTCAATTACATGCATTTTTGAGCGCGAGAAAAAATTTGAATGATGTAGTAGGCCTATATAGCGTTGTACTTTCATGGAAACAAATTAATAAGTCCAGAGATATAGTTTGCACTGAATAATGATGGCAATATAAGCTACAATATGACAACGTGACACTTCAACATTTGAGATTTCAACCGGCCTGTATATGTTTGCGCTTATTGATACTATAATTAACCTGCACATATATTTTGGCGCTATGAAATCCTTACAAAAAACAGGATATTACAATTATAAAAAAATGCTACAACACATTCTCCAAAGCCAAGGGCTCACACTGATACCAGTTCTTCTTAACTGACGCGATTACCCTGATGAAATAAAGTTTATTTGATTTGATACATTCATATATCTAGGAAACAGGATTACTTATCCGTGTTTATAAAAGGCTTTATTACAAAGTTATTGCACGGAAAACCCTTTGACAAAACAATTTTCGCTTTTGCAGTCAATTCCCGCGGATACCTTAAACGTATAAAGAACCACTGTGTATTATTGTAATATAAACAATTTCGTTTTCGGCGCGGTTTGATTGGCGATTGAAATAGCTCGCAATGTTTTTGTAAGATACTTATATCAGCTATAAATATATAAAGTTAAAAGACCCGGGCGAGAGTATATAACTTATAATTATATTAGTGAAAATTCAATAATAATAAAATTATTGTCTATACCCACATAAAAGCGAAGTCAACGAATATAATTCAGGAAGTGAAAAAGTCACTAATTTTTCATATAAGTCTAAAATTTCGTTTTCAAAACGCAAGTTTATAGAGCGTTACGTATGAGCAATCAATTAAAAAAATTGTCGCTGTTTTAAAAGAAGTGCCGGGCGATTTTGAAAGTGCAAGTCCATTGGAATTTTGCAAGCATATAATTATCATGTTAATTAATGAGTTAATTGCAGAAAATAAGGAACTAAATCCTTTCAAATTTTAATGGCATGCAAATGCTGTAATCTACGTGCGACTTAAAGGTTTTAGTACTGTACACATATTATTATTAGTCAAACGTGGTGGTTCAGTGTAGGTAGTATTCTACAATAAGCTGCCGTGATTTGTGTCTGAACTACCTGAAAAAGATATCTCAAACGTGATCCAGTGTAGGTAGTATTCTACAATAAGCTGTCGTGGTTTGTGTCTGAACTACCTGAAAAAGATATCTCAAATGTGGTGGTTCAGTGTAGGTAGTATTCTACAATAAGTTGTCGTGGTTTGTGTCTGAACTACCTGAAAAAGATATCTCAAATGTGGTGGTCCATTGTAGGTAGTATTCTATAATAAGCTGCCGTGGTTTGTGTCTGAACTACCTGAAAAAGATATCTCAAACGTGGTGGTCGAGTGTAGGTAGTAGTATTCTACAATAAGCTGTCGTGGTGTGTGTCTGAACTACCTGAAAAAGATATCTCAAACGTGGTGGTCCAGTGTAGGTAGTATTCTACAATAAGCTGTCGTGGTTTGTGTCTGAACTACCTGAAAAAGATATCTCAAACGTGGTGGTCCAGTGTAGGTAGTATTCTACAATAAGCTGTCACGCTTTGTGTCTAAACTACACACGTAAAAACGCACAAGTTGTTAAGGGGCCATTCACAAAGGATGTCCGTGCCGGGGGGGGGGGGTTTGGAATATCAGGACAAACTCGGACATAGGGGGGGAGGGGGGTTTTTTAGCAATCCGGATGTCCGAAATTTAAAAAAATCAAAAACAAATTTCTTTTTCCCTCTATTTTGAGCAGTCCTTCCCATTGTGAAATTGGCATTTTGACTATGCGGTTAACACTAGATTTTGTTTTAATTAGTAATTTATATGTTTTTGTGTTCACATTTACAGTTATAAAAAAGTTCTAAAAGTAAGAAAAGTTTTTTACTCTTGATATATACATGGTTGCGTGAGTTTTTGCGAGGCATGGCGGATGTCCGGGGGGAGGGGTCACTAATTCGGACAATGCCGGACAAGGGGGGGAGGGGGGGGGGTCTGAAAATCCATCATTTGGCCGGACATCCTTTGTGAATGGCCCCTAAGGTCTGTAAACAAGTTGTCACAAATATCTGTTCCCAAGCTGTCGACAAGTTGTGTTCGCACTGCTTGTTCCCAGTTGTTGTAACAAGTTTGGAACAAGCTGTTAACAACTTGTAACAAGCTTGATGGCATTATCAAACTTGTTACAAGGTTATTCTAACAAGTCTGATACAATCATGATATAACAAGAATGTTACAAGGTTGACGACACAAGATTGTAACAATATTGTTACGTCATGACTGTATCAGACTTGTTGGAACAACCTTGCAACAAGTCTGATAATATCAACAAGGTTGTTACAAATTGTTAACAACTTCTTCCAAACTTGTTGACAACTTGGGACAAGCAGTGTGAAAAGAACTTGTTGACGGCTTGTTGGCAGACTTGCCACAAAATGTTTTTGCGTGTGTAAATGAAAAAAATATTGATAGATATTCCTATTTTACATGATACAGGAAGGAGTCGCTGTTACGCCGGTCCGCCAAAAGATTTTTACACACCAACAAATTATGTACCAGGCATAATGCATGAACTACCCGAGATGTACCCCACATATGGTATTCCTAACGCGGGAAAATACATGTATCCGGGTAAGAATTAAGATTCAGCTTGTAATAAAATGTCGTTTCAATTGTCGCATCATCATATGCGATCAACTGATGATAAAATGTATTACTTTTTTTTGTAGAAATGGAAGAAATACCACCTCAGGTAAGAGCACCTCGTTCCGCTAAACTTCGCGTTAACATACATGTACTACACTATACCATACAACACCATATGCCATACCATACCATACCATACCATACCATACCATACCATACCATACCATACCATACCAACACCATACCATACCATACCATACCATACCATTGCAAGACTACACAATATCATACCATACCATACCATACAACACCATACTATACCATTCGCATTAACATACATGTACCACACTATACCATACAACACCATATGCCATACGATACAAGACTACACAATACCATACCACACCATACCATACCATACAACACACCATACACACCATACTATACCATACCATACCATACCATACCATACCATACCATACCATACCATACAACACCATACTATACCATACCATACAACACCATACTATACCATACCATACCATACTACACCATACCACACCATACTATACACCATACCAAACCATATAACACTACACAATACAATACAACACAATACCATACCACACGACACCATGCCACACCATACCACACCATACAACACTACACAATACCATACCACACCATACCATACCATACAACACCACACCACACAATACAATACAATACAATACAATACAATACAATACAATACAATACAATACAATACAATACAATACAATACAATACAATACAATACAATACAATACCATACCATACCATACCATACCATACCATAACATAACATAACATAACATAACATACCATACCATACCATACCATACCACACCACACCATACAACACCATACCAACCATACCATACCACACCATACAATACCATACCACACCATACCAACCATACCACACCACACCACACCACACCATACACCACCATACCACACCATACCATACCATACAACACCATACCATACCATACAACACCATACCATACCACAACATACCATACCATACCATACCACAACATACCATACCATACCATACCATAAACACAATTTCTAATGTCTTAAAATACTAAACCTTTTCCAACATGCAAGCTGACACTTATCCAACATTTTTCAGGTTATCGAAGACATCTGCAGTCTAAATTCTGAAACAAGCATGAGAGGTTTCGAAACAGCTTCACAAGAACATCCACTTAAATTACAACATCTCTCAACCAGTTCTGAATCCAGTATGACCGGTTTTGAGCCAGTTCATCAAGATCATCCAATCAACTACCAACACCCACCAACCAGTTCTGAATCGAGTGTCACTGGTTTTGAACCAGTTGAACAAGATTCTCTGAAACTTCAGATCGATAATTTCAAAACAACGGAACTCAGCACGATGGCTGACCATTTTGCCGAGCCACCGGACTTTTGCGAGACTCACATGTAAATATTTAATTTCAATAACATTGCTGCAAACATTTAGTTATTTACAAGCCTTGGGTTAAATATACAAAACTCGTAATTTAAAAGCCTGTTCACAGAGTCGAGATTATTTTAAAATATTGAAATAAGTTGCTATAAAGCATATACAAAAGTCAAAATGTTAAAATAACTGACCGGTTGAGTTGGTCAGATTTTGTAGTTTTATAAGATTATCATAGCTGTTTGAAATCTCTTTGATTTGTAAATATTAACTAAACTAACTTTATTTATACTGGGTAGTTCTATCAGTTCTAAACTGTTCTCCCAGTAAGGATCATCTCTTATTGGTCGAGTGTTACTACAGGAGGAAACCTAAGCTAAACAAACTTTATTTATACTGGATAGCTCTGTCAGTTCTGAACTGTTCTCCCTAGAGGTCCAGTAAGAATTATCTCTAATTGATGCAGATACTACTTACTACAGGAGGAAACCTTCATCAAAATAAATTTATTTATACTGGATAGCTCTACCAGCTCTAAACTGTTCTTCCTTTACTAGACGTCCAGTAAGAGTCATCTCTTATTGATCTAGGGTTACTACAGGAGGAAACATAAACTAAACTAACTTTATTTATGCTGGATAGCTCTATCAGTTCTGAACTGTTCTTCCTAGAGGTCCAGTAAGAGTCATCTCTTATTGATCCAGTGTTACTACAGGAGGAAACCTAAACTAAACTAACTTTATTTATGTTGGATAGCTCTATCAGTTCTGAACTGTTCTTCCTAGAGGTCCAGTAAGGATCATCTCTTATTGATCCAGTGTTACTACAGGAAGAAACCTAAACTAAACTAACTTTATTTATACTGGATAGCTCTATCAGTTCTGAACTGTTCTTCCTAGAGGTCCAGTAAGGATCATCTCTTATTGATCCAGTGTTACTACAGGAAGAAACCTAAACTAAACTAACTTTATTTATACTGGATAGCTCTATCAGTTCTGATCGAACTGTTCTTCCTAGAGGTCCAGTAAAAGTTATCTTTTATTGATCCAGTGTTACTACAGGAGGAAACCTAAACTAAACTAACTTTATTTATACTGGATAGCTCTATCAGTTCTAATTGTTCTTTTTAGAGGTCCACGATATAACCCTATATAACCCATGTTTTGCGTGGCTTATCCACAACTATTCAATTGTATCCCTTTAAATCCACACAGAAAGCTGTTTAAAACAAAGTTACCAGTCATGCATTGCTAGAACGTATCTGTGATTGTTTTGAACCAGCAGTATAGTTGGACACCTTCTGCGTTCAAATATAAGCAAGAACGAACATTGAAATTTAAATATTTTTTGCCAAGGGCAACTCTGCTTGGCGTCTTGTAAGATAACTTTAACCAAACGTCCAGATCAGTCCGAGGCTTTCCGATTATTGCCCGAAAATTAATTTTCAAGATGACGCCTTCGTGAGGAATGAGAGGGGAGAACAGTTTAGAACTGATAGAGCTATCCAGTATAAATAAAGTTAGTCTAGTTTTTGTTTCCTTCTGTAGTATCACTGGAACAATAAGAGATGATCCTTACTGGACCTCTAGGAAGAACAGTTTAGAACTGATAGATCTATCCAGTTTAGTTTAGGTTTCCTCCTGTAGTAACACTGGATCAATAAGAGATGATCTTTACTAGACCTCTAGGAAGAACAGTTTAGAACTGACAGAGCTATCCAGTATAAGTTAATTTAGTTTAGTTTAGGTTTCCTTCTGTAGTAACACTGGGTCGATAAAAGATGATCCTCACTGAACTTCTAGGGAAAACAGTTTAGAACTGATAGAGCTATCCAGTATAAAAAAAGTTTAGTTTAGGTTTCCTCCTGTAGTAACACTGGATCAATAAGAGATGACTCTTACTAGCCCTCTCTGACTAGCCGTCTAGGAAGAAAAGTTTAGAACTGACATAGAGCTATCTATCCAGTATTAATAAAGTTAGTTTAGTTTAGGTTTCCTCCTGTAGTAACGCAGGATCAATAAGTGATGGTCCTTACTGGACCTCTACGGAGAACAGTTTAGAACTGATAGAGCTATCCAGTATAAATAAAGTTAGTTTAGTTTGGGTTTCCTCCTGTAGTAACACTGGGTCATGAAAATGTGACTCTTACTGGATCTCTAGGGAAAACTGATAGAATTATCCAGTATAAATAAAGTTAGTTTTATATAATCTAGCTTACTTGCAGAATAAGAACGGGCCAACAAGGAATTAGCGCCAACCACAAAACATCCTCATTACATATGCACGTATGTGTACAAGATATCCCACTGTCACATTGTTCAAAAGAATAATACCACCACAGCAAGAAGCTCGAATCTCTGTCAATCAGAGGCAAAACCCACATTCCCTTTACACAATTTATCCGGAAACTTGAAGCAAGCTTAATTATATTATGCAAATATCAGAATAGGGTCAGAACACCTTTCGTTGGCAGCGGATTTCGGAAGCCCGTAAGATTTTGAATCGTCAGGAACTTTCGTAGTGGCTATTGACCCAACAACTGGTGACGAAATATTAAACAGCACAACAGACGTTGCATTAGTAAACTCACAGGGCCCACCACCTACGATCAACTTGTCCATTCACGTCGAGAATTCAAACCAAACCTGTCCTAATTCACCGCATTGCACGTCAAGAGAGAACGCAAGTCATTAAGACGGTAAGATTAAATCCGCTTCGGTTTATCGTCGAACTTTACGGGGTTGCTACCATATAAGTAAAAAAACATAGTCAAACTTTCGCACAAACGATTTGTTGTGAAGCGAACTCGGCAGGCGACTCATTTTTACGTGGATTAAATGATTTTAATTTATCTTGTTTTTGAAGGAAGGAATCCGAATATACATGCTCGTTGTATGGTGAATGATTGATGGCGAATCGGTGACACGAACTGTTAGGATCCCTGAAAAGAGAGCCGGGTTTTTAACCAGATCGGTTTGGTTACAATCGGTGAAGTGAATTAAAATCCATTTAGTGTATCAGTGTTACAAGTTCGAGTTAGCGGGAAAGAGCGCAAGGGACAAACGGGCAGGAATTTTGCATTGTCAGTTTGGAATTGGTAAAATTTGTACGCACGTTTCGAAGAAGAAAGAAGAGAAGCCTTGGAATCGATAAAGGTAGGATGGTCAAATGTTTAAATACCGATATTGCTGTGGGGCAGAATGAGAAAATAGCGTGAATTCGTTTTACGTGCGTAGTTCTTTTTGCTGGCAAATGTAATTTTGACGTAGTTTCATTTTCGAGATTCTAGCCGAAGCTGACCAGCATTCCCTGTCCTGTAACGCTTTCTAAAACCATGCAATCTAGGGGTTAATTTGCTGGCAACTTCGACAAATTAGGGCTAATGAGTTATGATAATCAAGCGCATTCCTTCTATAACGGGAACTTGAAATACATTTACCCATTTAATGATGGCGTTCAATTTCTGAAATCTTGACACCGTTATACTGGAGCAAGTAAATGAATGTACATCGCTTAATTGTATCCATCTTCAAATAGAAGACCAAATTAACGTTATTTTCTCACACTGATAACTGACCATCTGCTGTACGAAGGCGCTAAGTGAAACATACGTATATACTAGCTCGTTTTATTGGGAAGATTAAGAAGAAGTAAGTATATATCTTCTAAAAATTACGAAATATTGAGCGTTCAACAGCGTTACAATACGAAATACGATTGCAACTTTGACAGATTAAAGTTAATGCGTTATGCTAATTCGATATAGTTATGAAATAGTGGACTATTTTCGTCCGAAATAGCAAGTTAAACAGTGCTAACGTCAATTTTCATTAACCCAGAGCGTTTAATGTTACTCAACAATTAATATGATTAGGATTAAAGGTTAAAAATAGCAATTTCGGTGAACCATTAATACTATATAGACATCACACTGTTCTCGGGTCAAATTGCATACTTTTGCCGTTCCAAAATTTGACATATGACAATTATGGTGCTCTATACTATCTGATATATTTAGCTACGGTCAACTTTAATTAACCCCAATTCTTAAACTATATCAATTGCAAAGCTATGTATGTTTATAATCCATTTCTGGCCTAGTTACATGTTAGCTAAAAAAGTATCAGAAATTATCGCCAGTTGGGCATATATCTCTTGATGGTGTTTTATAATATAACATCGAAACAGGGCCCGAATTCGATTACGTGGACACAAAAGGTTCATCTGATAAATTTCTAAAGGAGGAACCAGGCGGGAATCGCCATCTAATGATAAATATGAATGCTCAGCATAATGTCCCTACAATAATAGGCGCGATAGTGAAAATAAATTTACAGAGTTTTCTTCAGCTGAAAACGATTTAGCTGAAAAGTATTAACAGATTGCCAAGGTATTTCTCGCTGTAACATCGAACCAGGTCAGCCAATCGATAAAACGAAGATCGTTAAATCGCTTCACAGCGGAAATGGCAATTCAATAGACATTACGTGCTTGAATACGCTATGTTTATCAAAAATGCTTATGCAATTAAATTTTATTCAATTTCCCCTTGATTGACCCTAGCTTATATTGTTTATAAAGTTGTTATGAAATCAAATAATTCCTGTATATATTTAAAGCTTTAAAAGGTTGTTGTATGATTTCCTATAAACTAAAACTTTGCATAGGAAATATGTATTCCCTTTGAATAGAATCACATCACACATGGATTTATCGTACAGGCGAATTAGATTATTTCGGTATAGATAAACCACAATTATTTCAAAACGCTAAAACAATCAAGCTATTTCGAAACCAAAACGATGCATTAAAACATCTCTAGTCAATACAGTAGTTTCAAAGTTAATTCACGAACTAATTAACCAAATTAATTAAGAGCTAGTTAATTAAGTACACTAACTAAGCACCTAATTAACAAAATTAGAATTAAGCAACTAATTAAGAAAACTCTAAATAAGAAAGAATACTTTTTAAAAACAGTTGAACACATTATGATCACGTAATAGCACAAAGTTATTAAATGATATCGTGAAACTTCAAGAACGCCTATAGTTTCCCCATTTTAAAGGCGAAACTATATATTGCGCAAGAAAATTTATCAAATTATGCTAATTTTGTTTAAAGGGAAAGTTATAGATTCGACCGTTTATGTGGGCTGTTTAATCAAGCAAAACCCACCACATTTAAGGCGGGTTATGTCATGTAATTACCACGAATGCATTGAAAACCAATGGGAAATTGGCAATCTTAAAAATAAAGGATGTCCATCAGCTCTTTCGCGTCACAAGAAACCTTCTTTTGTTTTTAAACGTTCTGAAGTGATTACATAAGGCAAGATTGATCAAAAACGTTCAGCTTTTGTTTATAAACAGCGAAGTCACAGCGGCCTACGCTTTCATTTCTCGCTGACAAACAGCGGGGAAAATTTCCACCCAGACTATAGCAGTTCAAAAGATATAATCGTGTTTAAAAAATGGGTAGTACCTAGTGTATATACTAATATAGGAAATATAATAGCCAAATATTCAATACCACAAACAAGCCATGACTTAAATTGATATATAGCCAATACTTCAACTATATGCACATAAGAAAGTTTTGAATTCAATGAGCCAATTTTGAAAGCAGAAGATTTCACTTTCAGCACTCCAACAAACACACATACATATAGCACCAACATACATAACACCAACATACATATAACCCAACACACACATATCATATCTTAGAATACATTGATATCGAAGGAACTATATAGACTCAGTTCCGAAATATCACCAACTCGAATAGATGCTTGTGATGTTACTCTGAGTGTATATCCACACCGGGCAAGCTTGAAAAATATGCCTGACCACGGTGGGAATCAAACCTACGACCTTTAGAATACTAGCCCAATGCTCTGCCAACTGAGCTACGCGGTCTGGTCGGTTCGAGTATGTGATATTTCGGAACAGAATCTAGTTCCTTCGATATCAATGTTATCTAATAATAATCATGATTTCTCTGTGTTGGTGTAATGTACTCAGGTGAATATGATGCTTGTGATGTTACTTTGAGTGTACTCGAACCGTCCTGACCGCGTAGCTTAGTTGGCAGAGCATTGGGCTAGTATTCCAAAGGTCGTAGGTTCGATTCCCACCGTGGCCAGGCATATTTTTCAAGCTTGCCCGGTGTGGATATACACTCAGAGTAACATCACAAACATCACATTCACCTGAGTGCATAACACCAATACGCACAAAATAAACCCTGTCAAATTCGTTGGACATTTCGAATCGCTATGTGGTTAAATTAGTTTCGCTATGACGCAAATAGCTTTTGCCATTTGATTTGAAAGATGCATGTATATCGGTTCCAAAACACTTCGAATGAGTTTTAGCACGTTTTAAACCCTAAGTAGCTAACGAGACGCAGCCATATTGGTTGTGACCGCATAAATTAGTACACTGTAATTCACTAACAACTAATTTAAGAAGTAAGGCAACTATAATGCCCAGGCAATTTCTATCTCACAAATAAATGTTCCTTTCGTCAACATGTTAGCATGTAATATAGCATGAGTAGATTTCAGACGGTCATATATTGGTAACTATGATTAACAAATGAGTTATTTTGATTTTTCTGTGTTGGTGTAATGTACTCAGGTGAATATGATGCTTGTGATGTTACTCTGAGTGTGTATCCACACCGGGTAGGCTTGAAAAATATGCCTGGCCACGGTGGGAATCGAACCTACGACCTTTGGAATACCAGCCCAATAATGCTCTGCCAACTGAGCTACGCGGTCAGGTCGGTTCGAGTATGTGATATTTCGGAACAGAATCTAGTTCCTTCGATAATTTCAAACATATAGTATGACAAGCATATCGAAGTTTAGCTAATTTCCTTCACAATTTCGACGAATCTTTTTAGTTTTACAAAGTAGCTCAACATTAAGAAACAGATGCATTTATATTTATATAAATATTAAAAGCGCGGGGATAACCCGTGGACAATACGACACTGAATTAATAATATACTGTTTTCGTGTTTATACCACACGCAAAAATATGTCAGTTTAAAAATAAATAACGTCTGTTTTTCCTCGATTCATTGTTAAGCATGCTAAGTTTTAACGAGTATATGCTTTAAATAACATTAGCGCACTAAATTTCGTCTATTTTATTCGAAGATGAAATAATTTAGCGCACATGACGCAACTGGGGTAAACAGTTTTCCGTCTTATATATATAGACGGCTATTTCTGCCATTTGAAGTTAAATATAACGAAATCCATTGTTCTCTCTATAGAATCCCTTTCTTGTTAGAACAACGCGATGAAGTTGCTTATTAATTGTTTAAACTATAACCTACTTGTCAATATTGATTTGTCTTGTATTCTGCATTTAAATGGTAGGGGTCCCACAAGCTTATATACTATTCGTGCAAAAATTACACCTGCCTGTGGGCATGCACTGGTACAATCCCAGTTAAAATACTAAAAGCTATAGGCCCTATACAATTTTTATACAATGGATGATTCCCCAGCTATATAGAGTAAATTCTGATCTAGGCAAGAAGAACCAAATCCATCACCACAGCTAGAAAGAGCATGTTAAAACTGGTAAAATTGCAAAGTTTGGTTGCGAAATGTTGTAAAATGTGGAAAATATATATCCCTATGGAATTTGCAAATTTTCTATTAATTTGTATTACGCACGGGAAAATTCAGCTAAATGTGGTGCATTTTCCCGCGCGGCAAATTAGCCTAACACAAAATTTGCAAATTTCGCAGGGCTATATTTTCCGCATTTTACAACATTTCGCAACCAAACCTTGCAATTTTACTCATTTTAACATGCTCTTTCTAACTGTGGTGATGGATTTTGTTCTTGCCTAGATCAAAATTTATTGTACAGCTGGAAGCATCCATTTGCAAAAAGCGAACGTCTTGAAGTCTTGCACACGTAAAAACACACATGTTGTTATACAGATCCGCAAACAAGTTGTGACAAGGTTGTTATGAAGCCGATATCAGGATGTGTTCGCACTGCTTGTTCCCAGTTGTTGTGACAAGTCTGGAACAAGTTGTTATCACCTTGTTATCACCTTGTTACAAGGTTGATGACGGTAACAGACTTGCTACAAGTTGTTCCAACAAGACTATAATACAGGCTGTTCGTAACAAGTTGCTACGAGCTTGTTGTCATCAACTTGTTAACAACTTGTTACGCGTGCAGATGATATCAGACTTGTTGCATGGAACAACTTGTTGCGAGTCTGTTGGCCTCGTCAACCTTGTTACAAGATGATAACAACTTGTTCCAGACTTGTCAACAACTGGGAACAAGCAGTGCGAACACATCTTCTTGACAAGCTGTGAATGGTCCCTATATATGTATTCTCTTATTTGCAACTGGTAACACTGGATTACTGTGGGTTTCAGGAAATGACGATCCCTACAGCATTAATGTAGAAGGATTCTGTAGATGCCGAAACGAGATGGAATGCGAAATAATTTTGGTGCATTGAAATAAATCACTAAGCTTAAGGGAAAGTTCAAACGTCGGTTAAAATAACTCAATGTTGTAGAGATCTCGTTGCTCAAAGAAGATTATTATTGCGGCTTCAACAGCCTCCCATTTACAATAATAACTTCTTCAGTATTAACCGAGCGCGATGTCTGTACAGAGAAATATCGGACCGAGGTCTTTTTTGTACAGACCGAGCCCGTATAGGGTGAGGTTTGTACAAAAAAACCGAGGTCCGATATTTATACCGTACCGAGCAAGCGAGGTCAATAAAAAGTTTATAAATATGGCTTTTATAGGTATCTATACTTGAAACAAACAAGAAATGCATGATTTGAAATGCATATTAGTAGCGTGGTACACATTTGGTCGAAGAAAACATAAAATACCAATGTATTCTAAAAACCATTCGCAGATATCTTATTAATAACACATTAAATTATAATTTTCAAATTCTCAATCAGTTTTGCTGTTTTGTTTGTTTTTACGTGACCGACCGCCGGTCCATTACGGGAAAATAATGGACCACTGAAAGTGCTTCTCAGCCAATCACCGACTTGCCATTTCACCAGAAGTGATGCTTGCCATATAATAATACCATTATGATCTATCAGTGACTAGAAAAATACTGCAGTTTTGCTGAATGGTGCACTGTGTCTTATTTCAATACATCAAAATCATCCCGCTTCACATCTCGTTCGGTAAAGCGGGATTATGTTAAACAGCCCCACATTATATGACTAACCAGGCGCAAATTAAAAAATGCAACTATAACGCCTACTATATTTCGAACTGATAGACAATTTGGACAGTCAATAGAACTATGTATAGCCACCATAGTATATTGTCTGCTATGTTTAGACATGGCAGACTAAGAGCATTATCGCATTATCTCTTCTTCAATTTATAATTAACCACAATTAACTGCATCACATCATTAAAACACTTGTCTTGGAGTATTTCAAGTACATAAGTGCTCTTAATATAACTTTTGTTAATTAAACAATTCGCAAATTGTATCAGGAAATTCATAAGAAATCATTATAATGTAAATGAATTAAGTTATGAACTGTGGACACCAAGTAATTTCTGAAATGTTTGCCAAGTTTTCGAGGGTGATTGTTTGGTTAACTGTTTCGCAATCAACTCCAGCGCGCTTTGTTCAAAAAGGTTGAACGGTATACTTTGTCCAAAGAAAGTTTGACAGCGTCACACAAACTACATTTTAATTAAAAATCACTTGTAATTTTTGCAACGTTTTTGAAATGTTTGCTAGGTTAATTGTTTCGCATCAGAAGAAAACTCAACTATGCTTTGTTGAACTGAGTACGTTTTTGAACAGCATCGAAGCAAATAGAGCTTTTCAGACTCCTCGCTGGGTCTCGTGCTGAGTGCTCTGATAACATCACATAAACTTCCCAACAAAATTTAATAAACTTACCCTCAAAAATCGATCCACAATTGTCTCTCGCCAAAATTTTCGCTGTCATTCGCCTTGTGGTAACTTTTTCGTCCAGATTTTTTCGAAATATCTTCAATTCGCTAAACAAAAATGGCAAAAAACAATAAATAGTTCACTCATGTAATTATATTAGTCGAGATAAAAGAGCCATTAAGAAGATTATAATTTAATCTAAACAGCAAGACTTCTCGCTGACCGAAAAATGCAGTTCAAGTAGTTGTATGTGGCAAATTGAACCGCGCTGTTACGATACCACAGAGAACTACATTTTGTATGCCTTCTAAATGTAAGTAAACTCGTTTAACACACTAATAAATATGATGTTGTACTACATATATTGGCAGGCTAGTCTTGATTGATTAATAGCTTGTCATTTAGTATTGTGTTAATTTGGTTAATGTAGCAAAATAATAGGTGCTAATTATATTTATTAAACGATGTCAAGTAATATACATGACCCTTACATATATGGTTAAATCCACTTATTAAAATAGCAGGCTATTTAAAAGCGGTAATGTTTTCTTTCTATATACAAATTCAGCGTGAATAATGTTAGCCCAGGTCGTATGTTATGATATGGTGAGGCACCCTACTGACCTCAATAAGTAAACCTGAATTGAGAATGAAGTTTCATCAAGTCCTAGGACTGGATTAAGTTTGATCAAATCTTAGGATCGGATGAAGTTTTGATAAAGTCCTAGGACTGGATGAAGTTTTGATCAAGTCCTAGGACTGGATGAAGTTTTGATCAAGTCTTAGGACTGGATGAAGTTTGATCAAGTCTTAGAATTGGATAAAGTTTGATCAAGTCCTACTACTGGATGAAGTTTTGATCAAGTCCTAGGACTGGATGAAGTTTTGATCAAGTCCTAGGACTGGATGAAGTTTGATTAAGTCTTAGGAATGAACAAAGTTTGATCAAGTCCTAGGACTGGATGAAGTTTGATCAAGTCCAAGGACTGGATGAAGTTTTGATCAAGTCCTAGGATTGGATGAAGTTTGATCACTAGGACTGGATGAAGTTTGATTAAGTCTTAGGAATGAACAAAGTTTGATCAAGTCCTAGGACTGGATGAAGTTTGATCAAGTCCTAGGACTGGATGAAGTTTGATCAAGTCTTAGGACTGGATGAAGTTTTGATCAAGTCTTAGGACTGGATGAAGTTTGATCAAGTCCTAGGACTGGATGAAGTTTTGATCAAGTCCTAGGACTGGATGAAGTTTGATCAAGTCTTAGGACTGGATGAAGTTTTGATCAAGTGCTAGGACTGGATGAAGTTTGATCAAGTCCTAGGACTGGATGAAGTTTGATCAAGTCCTAGGACTGGATGAAGTTTGATCAAGTCCTAGGACTGGATGAAGTTTGATCAAGTCCTAGGACTGGTTGAAGTTTGATCAAGTCTTAGGACTGGATGAAGTTTGATCAAGTCCTAGGACTGGATGAAGTTTGATCAAGTCTTAGGACTGGTTGAAGTTTGATCAAGTCCTAGGACTGGATGAAGTTTGATCAAGTCTTAGGACTGATTGAAGTTTGATCAAGTCCTAGGACTGGATGAAGTTTGATCAAGTCTTAGGACTGGTTGAAGTTTGATCAAGTCCTAGGACTGGATGAAGTTTGATCAAGTCTTAGGACTGGATGAAGTTTGATCAAGTCTTAGGACTGGATGAAGTTTGATCAAGTCTTAGGACTGGATGAAGTTTGATCAAGTCCTAGGACTGGATGAAGTTTGATCAAGTCTTAGGACTGGTTGAAGTTTGATCAAGTCCTAGGATTGGTTGAAGTTTGATCAAATCTTAGGACTGGATGAAGTTTGATCAAGTCCTAGGACTGGATGAAGTTTGATCAAGTCTTAGGACTGGATGAAGTTTGATCAAGTCCTAGGACTGGTTGAAGTTTGATCAAGTCCTAGGACGGGATGAAGTTTGATCGACCCCCTAGGGCACGCTTCAACCTCAAATAACGACGGGCACATGACACTCACATTTAGCGAAGTGCTTAATCAACAAACGTCAAACAATGAACTGCATATTGTCTAGAATAACTGGAATAATTCTTACAAAATATCTTTCATCAAGACCCCCGTTATGAGTGTTTAGAAAAGACCACGGGAAAGCGACAAATTAATCTTAAGATGGCATATTTTTTTGGGGGGAGGGGGCGGTAACTAAAGGGATTTCACCACGCATGTTAGATTATATATTAGTTTTCTGCCTAAGTGATGTCCAAACTAGACAAGTACAAAACTACTTGATCATGATAGGATTTGTATGCTTTACATATTATCTATCCGAGTACAAATCCCACCATGATCAAGTAGTTTTCTACTTGTCTGGTGTGGACATCACTTTGAGAACATCATCTAATATAAATAATCTACCTGAGTACAAATCCCACCATGATCAAGTAGTTTTCTACTTGTCTGGTGTGAATATCACTTGGAGAACATCATCCAATATATATAATCTACCTGAGTACAAATCCCACCATGATCAAGTAGTTTTCTACTTGTCTGGTGTGAATATCACTTGGAGAACATCATCCAATATATATAATCTACCTGAGTACAAATCCCACCATGATCAAGTAGTTTTCTACTTGTCTGGTGTGGACATCACTTGGAGAACCAACATCCAATATATATAATATACCTGAGTACAAATCCCTTGGCCGAGGATATAGAATTTATATTCATACAAACTACATGTACTAAGTTAAATGTTTCGTGAATATTGCTACAACTAAATACCAACATGGGGTGTATAACTTTATAACAGTGGAATTTTGCGACATTTTCTGACCAATCGTATTGCAAGGAACGCCCCATGCGATCAATTAATCTCTTTTTAGCCTCACAGTTGGCTAGGGAATCTTTTGAATGCGATAAAATGTTCGGTATGTGAAGGAATGGTTTTGTGTGAGAATGTTTTATAAACAACGAAATAATTTGTAAACCTAAACTTTATGTATACCGGATAGCTCTATCAGTGTTCTCCCTAGAGGTCCAGTATAAGGACAATCTCTTATTGATCCAGTGTTACTACAGGAGGGAATCTAAACTAAACTAACTTTATTTATACTGGATAGCTCTATCAGTTCTAAACTGTTCTTCCTAGAGGTCCAGTAAAGATCATCTCTTATTGATCCAGTGTTACTACAAGAGGAAACCTAAACTAAACTAACTTTATTTATACTGGATAGCTCTATCAGTTCTAAACTGTTCTTCCTAGAGGTCCAGTAAGGATCATCTCTTATTGATCCAGTGTTACTACAGGAGGAAATCTAAACTAAACTAACTTTATTTATACTGGATAACTCTATCAGTTCCAAACTGTTCTTCCTAGAGGTCCAGTAAGGATCATCTCTTATTGATCCAGTGTTACTACAAGAGGAAACCTAAACTAAACTAACTTTATTTATACTGGATAGCTCTATCAGTTCTAAACTGTTCTTCCTAGAGGTCCAGTAAGGATCATCTCTTATTGATCCAGTGTTACCACAGGAGAAAACCTAAACTAAACTAACTTTATTTATACTGGATAGTTCTACCAGTTCTAAACTGTTCTTCCTAAAGGTCCAGTAAGTGTCATCCCTTACAAAAATTATTTAATTGTGCTAGAAGCAAATAATTGAATTAGTGTATACTTTGACACGCATAATCCAATCGTTCTAGTCTCAGCCATAAGCTATAGTTGAACTGCAATTTGCGCCCTGCGAAGAATGTGTCATTTGGGAAACTCCACATTGGCTCATTACCGCACATAATGTGACGTCACACGCAAGACTTGAATATATGAATATAATATGAAGTATTACCGAAGCAGCCATTCCCATGACTGCTAAAGTTATTAATTTTCGCCTAAACTTACTCTCCCACATTGAATGGCTGAAACTCATAAAAGATTCTTCAGAGTATGACAGGAAATCTTATTAAGCGTAATATGTCATCTACGAGAGGGAGTTTAATTTCTTACAGTTATTTAATAAAGAAAAGTTTGTTGAAAAACGCGGGCCTAGCCGAACCCTTTGACATTGACATTGATAACTTTATTAAACAGGTCTTAAACCATCGGTCAGAGAATCGTCTGACAAAATGTTCCATGACCTTGAGTTTGCGGGTCGGACATATGTATTGTAATATCCGATCATTTTGAGTTCAGTTTGGCTTGGAAATAAGTATGGATGCAGACACAAATGAATATCAGGACAATTTGGAAAAGTCATTTAAATCTTGGCAATGAATTTCCAAACCCCACTTGATTACACATTTCCAGTTCACTTTTTATACATTACAATACTCTGATTCTCCATTTAACATACGAGCCTCTAGTCCTGGACTAGGGTACATTTTTATTTACGTTGGACAAAGTTAAAGTTAGGTCCGACACCAATATTCACTTGGGTCGGACAAACAATAAACCTCAGTTTCACTTAGGTCGAACAGAATGTCCAGTGGTTTCCTCTCTACGTCGGACGATTTGACGACGTGACCGAGCGATATTTTAAGGCCTGAATTATATTTTAGTATAGGGTAAAACCTTTCAGTATTTCAATTCATACGGTTATAAATAGGTGCGGTAATAATTGATGAGTATACTAATAATTGATGAGTATACAGTTAAAAGTTGAAAAGGGAGGTCTGGCATTTGAAAAGGGAGTTCTGGCATTTGTAAAGAGAGTTCTGGCATTTGTAAAGGGAGTTCTGGCATTTGTAAAAGGAGTTCTGGCACTTGAAAAGGGAGTTCTGGCATTTGTAAAGAGAGTTCTGGCATTTGTAAAGGGAGTTCTGGCATTTGTAAATGGAGTTCTGGCATTTGAAAAGGGAGTTCTGGCATTTGAAAAGGGAGTTCTGGCATTTGAAAACCAAGTTCTGCCATTTGAAAAGGGAGTTCGAATTCTGCCATTTGAAAACGGAGTTCTGCCATTTGAAAACCATGTTCTGCCATTTGAAAAGGGAGTTCTGCCAATTGTAAAGGGGGTTCTGCCAATTGAAAAGGGAGTTCTGCCATTTGTAGAGGGAGTTCTGCCATTTGAAAAGGAGTTCTCCCATTTGAAAAGGGAGTTCTTGCATTTGTAAAGGGAGTTCTGCCATTTGTAAAGGGAGTTCTTGCATTTGTAAAGGGAGTTCTGCCATTTGTAAAGGGAGTTCTTGCATTTGTAAAGGGAGTTCTGCCAATTGTAAAGGGAGTTTCGCCATTTGAAAAAGGAGTTTTGCCATTTGAGTACGTTCAGGCATTAAAAACTAATTTGAAAGTTTAATCATGCTATTCATGTATCAATAATTTTCTACAGGAGGCTATGATTTAGGGAGGTTATGTTTTAAGTTTGTATCTGTGTGAGTGCGTGTGTCTGTGTGTTATTCGATGACCATTCGTGTCCGCGGGAAATTACGAAAGGACTTGCGCATATATATGACCTACGGTCGGACTTGCTCAAGCCAATGGTTTTAGAGCATTGCATGTCAATTGCAGACGTCGTTAGAAATGCCAATTTTTATTAAAAAAAGTGCGCCATATCTCATTATGTTGTCCAGTGACCTATGTTGAAATTTTTGACCTGACCAGCTGAGCAGTTTTAGGGGCTGATTACATGGGGAGTTTTCAGCCCGGGCTGAATTTCAACCGGGTTAATCGAGCTGAAATTGTTTCACGATTACATGGTAAATTTCAGCCCGGGATGCGTTAGAATTTCAGTTCAAACCCAGGGGTGAAATCTCAACCCGGGCTGAAACGATCAAGTCTCAAAATGGAGCTATTCCTCGCTTCTTCGAATAATTCAAAATGTTGTTCATGTCTATTATTTAACTTCTGCGAGACTGTGGTTGCATTTAGAAGTAAAACAGACAGAAATAAAGCCACTTCAACGCTGTTTTTTCAACCAGGGTTGAAAATTCCCGTCGATCACATGACGATTTTCAGCCATGGTATAGCTTCGACCAGGCTGAAACTCATCCCGGGATGAAATTTCTGTCTTGTAATCGCTTGCCATGTTTTTTTTACCCAGAATTTTACCCCTAGGCCAGGCTGGAATTTCATCCCGGGAAACCGGGATGAAATTCAGGTCGGGCTGTAAACAGTCTCCATTTAATCAGCTCCTATATTGGCTAAGGTCCAGAAATGTACATAACTTGCAGACCATCTCCAACAGTAAATGAGATTCCCAAAATAGTGATAAAATATCCCCCATCTTTTCTGATAAATCATGTATACAAGAACACCTAGAAATTCAGTCAAAGCATTGTACCCCACTAGCCATTGAACCTCACAATACTTGAACCAAGGGACATCCATCTCACACTGATGCATGCTGGGAAATAATGTATAATTTCCGGCCGGTAATATCCGGTTTCATTTATCTTGTATACACTTGGAGAGGTCGCCTGGGTTTGGTCCCATTATGAGCGATATTGGGCAATCTAGGGGATTTCCGAATGATATATTTATAAACAGTGTTTTAAAAGGTCGCACGGAAAACATACAGTGTTGTTATAAACTGTTCTCCCTAGAGGTCCAGTAAGGATCATCTCCTATTGATTCACTGTTACTGCAGAAGGAAATCTAAACTAAACTAACTTTATTTATACTGGATAGCTCTATCAGTTCTAAACTGTTCTTCCTAGAGGTCCAGTAGGAGTCGTCTCTTATAGATCCAGTGTTAATACAGAAGGAAATCTAAACTAAACTAACTTTATTTATACTGGATAGCTCTATCAGTTCTAAACTGTTCTTCCTAGAGGTCCAGTAGGAGTCGTCTCTTATAGATCCAGTGTTAATACAGGAGGAAACCTAAACTAAACCATCTTTATTTATACTGGATAGCTCTATCAGTTCTAAACTGTTCTCCCTATAGAGGTCCAGTAAGGATCATCTCTTATTGATCCAGTGTTACTACAAAAGAAAACCTAAACTAAAGTAACTTTATTCATACTGGATAGCTCTATACCAGTTCTAAACAGTTCTTCATAGAGGTCCAGTAAGGATCATCTCTTATTGATCCAGTGTTACTACAGGAGGAAACCTAAACTAAACTAACTTTATTCATAATGGATAGCTCTATCAGTAAACCTAAATTAAACTTCATTTAAACTGCATTGACCTCCAAAATTCTTACGGCACCAAGCGTCTATTAGTTTTACCCAAAACAGAAACCGCGCATAATTACGTCAAGGATATTGCTATAGTGGTTTAATAAGGATGTTATATAACCATCCCCGTTTCAAAAACAGTGCTTAAACCAATAACAGCCAACGTAATAGATATTAATAGCAGCTTATAAATAAGCTAACTTTTGTGTTTTGTTTTATTTTAGATAAAATCGTCCAAGGAAATGTCGTCCACTCGATTTGGTTGGTTCAACCTACGGCCAAGCAGTCTACAGTGTTTTAATACCCCGCAATGGCTACTAACATTTCTGTGTTTGTATTACTTTTGCTTGAGTATGGTTATAAATGGCACATATTCCGTCTCTGTGTCGACGATAGAGAAGCGATTTGGTCTTTCAAGGTAAAGTTATCGGGCCATATTAGGGAGTGGTCATTATTTAAGGCGAGGGGTGGCACCGAATAGAAATTAGTGTTTTTGTTGGTAAAATTTTACTGATCCAACCATAAAAAAGTCAAACTTTTTTCCTACCCAACCTCAGATATCAATTAGAAAATAAATACCCACCACTGGCCAAAAACGTTACAAAAGGATACCATTCAGTTGTCACACACGTCCTTTACCACTTCTGTGACACGAGTTTGATAACTGCTTGTGAAATTTAAATGCAGTCTAAAGTTTCATGTTGTCTGCACATGTACTTTCTTTGGAGACAACATTTGTCTTCTGAGAAGTCGGAAAATGAATAAGATAGTGACTCTGATTGATTCACATATATTGTATTGACATATGACTGCTGATATTGCTTTTTAATTTTCAATGCTAAAATGAAGAGATTTTAAATGGAATACGCCAAGCTTTCGTTTACAATCATGGCTCAGTAGTGGACCTATTACCTAATGAACAAAATTTTGATCTAGACAAGTCTAGACAAAAATTTCATCACAGCTTGAAAGAGCATCACAAAATTAGTAATATTCCCAAGTTTCGTTGCAAAATGTTGTAAAATGCGGATAATATAGCCCTGCGAAGTTTGCCATTTTTCAGTCATTTTGTATTACGCACGGGAAATGTAAATGTGTAATACAAAATGACTGAAAAACGGCAAACTTCGCAGGGCTATATTATCCGCATTTTACAACATGTCGCAACGAAACTTGGGAATATTACTAATTTTGTGATACTCTTTCAAGCTGTGATGAAATTTTTGCCCAGACTTGTCGTAGATCAAAATTTTGTTCATTAGGGAATAGGCCCGCGTTCGTTAAAGCGCTGCATAAAAGCTTCAAATTTCCATCGCGAAAAACCTTTCTTGGATAAAATATACTTTCTTTGCTTAGTTCTGTGATGGGCATAGTGACGAGCATGTACGATGTCGCGTGTTTATTTGTCACGGTGTTTGTGAGCTATTACGGCGGACAACAGAGCAAGTCCCGTTGGCTCGGCTGGGCGCTGTTTATACTGGGCATTGCTAACTTCGTGTTTATATTACCACATTTGTTGATTGGCAAATATGAAGCAGGTATGTACATAGAGAATATCTTACTTGGTGTCTCACAGTGTCGTTCGGAGTTTTGATTCTTGCAATACGATACGGGAAGACTTCCAGTCAGACACTACAGGGGATACAAGGAAGAACAGTTTAAAACTGATAGAGCTATCCAGTATAAATAAAGTTAGTTTAGTTTAGGTTTCCTCCTGTAGTAACAATGGATCAACAAGAGATGATCCTTACTGGACCTCTAGGGAGAACAGTTCAGAACTGATAGAGCTATCCAGTATAAATAAAGTTAGTTTAGTTTAGGTTTCCTCCTGTAGTAACACTGGATCAATAAGAGATGATCCTTACTGGACCTCTATAGGAAGAACAGTTTAGAACTGATAGAGCTATCCAGTATAAATAAAGTTAGTTTAGTTTAGGTTTCCTCCTGTAGTAACACTGGATCAATAAGAGATGATCCTTACTGGACCTCTAGGGAGAACAGTTTAGAACTGATAGAGCTATGCAGTATAAATAAAGTTAGTTTAGTTTAGGTTTCCTCCTGTAGTAACACTGGATCAATAAGAGATGATCCTTACTGGACCTCTAGGAAGAACAGTTTAGAACTGATAGAGCTATCCAGTATAAATAAAGTTAGTTTAGTGAAACAGGAGTAGGTGAAAAGAACTCTTGTCCACCTTCATCAACCGGGGTATTTTTGGCCAGCATTTCTTCAGGTACTTTGATTCGAACCAGCTTTGAGATGTAACCAAAAATGTACACCTAAAATAACAAGAGAAACGTAAGGTGAAGCAGGTTTTATATCTGTATTTACAATGGTATTTACTATCATATATTTACTTACTCGAATCCATCTTGGGATTTTCCCCATGGCGGGATTACGATAATGATATCTGAGGACCCAGGCTGTGCACACTAATGCAATACATATCTCAACTATCACCATAGAATAATACCTAAATAAAGATTGTGTATTTACAAGTGAAGCTGAAAATACACGAAAGGCCTGTATACTGTTCATTCTGTTCATCACATGTAGTAGTCTTGTACTTGGAGGCAAATAAATAGAATTGTGATATGTAGTTCTTGCACATACAAGCGTCTATATTCATCTGATGCCCCGCAAAACTTATTGAAAGCTACACATATAAAAGTCTCACAACTTGTCAAGAAGATATATTTGCAACAGGCTTGTAGCAAGCTTGTCCACAAGTTGTAACAATGCTGTTATTTTATCAAGTTGCTACAAGCTTGTCATTCACAACTTGTTGACAAATTGTTGAATTGCAGGACGATAACAAGTTGTTGGAACAACTTGTGACAAATCTGTTGAGCTGATAAACCTTGTAGCAAGATGTCAATAAACCGTTGACAACTTGTCAACAAATTGGGAACAAGCAGTGCGAACACATCCTGTTGACAAGTTGTTGGAACAGCATTGCTACAAGTCTGCTGCAGGTTTGTTACAACTTGTGCGTTTTTACGTGTGCAAGCCAGTCAACGCACAAACCTGCCAACCAGAGGGACATGCTCGGATGTCTCCGGGATGTAGTTTGTGGCAAGTAAAAAGAACACGGACAATGCGAGAAGGATGGTACAACCAACGACCATACGTTCACCACTTGCAGCGGGAAGGTAAAATATCAGAGTTGCCAGTATAGCTGTGAGGACACACGGAGCAATGAGGTACACGAAGTAGTAGAACACTTTACGTTGAATGCGGACGACAAAGGTGACTGTAGCTTTCGCAATGTTGTCCTTTTTTGTCGTGTGTTCCTTTTTGATGATATCCATGATTGCCCAGGTACCACTTTCTGCAAAGACAAAATGCCATCAATCATTGGCAGCAACCTAAACTAAACAACTTTATTTTTACTGGATGGCTCTATCAGTTCTAAACTGTTCTCCCTAGAGGTCCAGTAAGGATAATCTCTTATTGATCCAGTGTTACTACAGGAGGAAACCTAAACTAAACTAACTTTATTTATACTGGATGGCTCTATCAGTTCTAAACTGTTCTCCCTAGAGGTCCAGTAAGGATAATCTCTTATTGATCCAGTGTTACTACAGGAGGAAACCTAAACTAAACTAACTTTATTTATACTGAATAGTTCTATCAGTTCTAAACTGTTCACGCTAGAGGTCCAGTAAGGATCATCTTTTATTGATCCAGTGTTACTACAAGAGGAAAACTAAACTAAACTAAACTAAACTAAACTAAACTAACTAAACTAAACTAAACTAAACTAAACTAAACTAAACTAAACTAAACTAACTTTATTTATGCTGGATAACTCTATCAGTTTTAAACTGTTCACGCTAGAGGTCCATGAACATACCAGTATAGTTGGACAACATATTCCTATCGTTGCCACTTAGCATCAATTTCTTCACATCATAATTCCAAGAATAAAACTTCAACGGACAGTATTGTTCGTCAAAAGGAAAGTAGCGAACAAACTGCTTGCAAAACCCGTCCAGTATCGTAGGAGTTAGCCAGCGAACTCTGCCATCTGAGGAAACAACAACTGGCTCATTCAGACCAATTGCACGACCCATGTAATCCTGATTCACACTGGAATGTCACGGGAAAAGTTGTTAATAGTTGTACACAGGTAAAAACACACAAGTTTTAACAAACCTGCAGTGGACTTAGCTTGTAGCAATGCTGTTCCAACAACTTGTCAACAGGATGTGTTCGCACTGCTTGTTCCCGGCTTGTGGACAAGTTGTCAACGGCTTGTTGACAGCTTGCTACAAGGTTGTTGAGCTCAATTATTCCAACAACTTGTTATTGTCCTGCCATTCAACAATTTGTCAACATGTTGTGAGTGACAAACTTGTAGCAACTTGATAAAGTAACAGCATTGTTGCAACTTGTTGACAAGCTTGCTACAAGCCTGTTGCGAACACATCTTGTTGACAAGTTGTAAGAATTTTACGTGCGTAGTTGTATGTTGTAGTGCATGTTATTGAAACCTATTGGTTGCAGATGGTCGCCAACTTCAGGAATGTTAACACCAATTGGAGCGAGAAAATTCATCTCTCAATTCTATTTATTTGCCTCCAAATACAAGACTACTACATATAATGAAAAGAATGAAAATTATTTTCTCTCTCTGATAACTGCAGGTTGACCACCATCTGCTTCACGATAGTGCTATGTCTTAAGGTTACAGGACACCCTTTTTGGCGTTTTGCGGAAAATCGCTACTGCGCGCTCAATATCAGTCCGATTTTCATCAAATTTTCACCAAATGTTCTCCAGTGCATGCAAAATATGGTAAAGTTGTAAAATTAACAAACAATAAA